AGGGAGTTCCACAAACTAAGGTCTAGAACAATGGGCTATAATTAATATACCATCTAAACTAAGAACAGTTTCATTTTTAAGAATATTCCACAGAGATGCTGAGTAGAACAATTTCTCCTCATTAAATTTATTCATGTGGTGATCTCATCTAACCTTTAAATAATGAACAAGTCCAGATCTGTGAGGTTCAAGCACAGCATCAGGTTGAGATGTATGTGGACAGCTCTCTGCAGAAAGAGAGCAGGTGACGCCATCCTCTGAACAGACCACAGGGCCAAGTCAGGATCCACCCATCATGGCACAGACACAAAGCTTCAGGAAACAATAAATTCTAGTGAAATCCAAAATCTGAAGATTGTCTTTCTAAGCCTTCCCTCTGAGACATCAATGTAAAAGTGTTATAGTTCAGGGAAACTGAAGAAAATTCCACTCTTGTATTTTAAAATGGTAATATATTAAGCTTTCAAAAGCCTAAAATGGTAATATATTAAGCTTTCAAAAGCCTACTATATTCACTATGTGATTTTACATGTATTATCTTATTTAATCCTCATAACCACCCTAGGAAGTAGGATATATGATTGCCCTCATTACAGATGAAGAAAGTAAGGCACAAAAGGTTATATCATTTGACCACAGCCAGGATGAACTCTGGTGGTCTGACTCCAGAGCCTCACACTATCAGTCATTCAACAGATACGTGAGAGCCCACCACAAGGTGCACATGGCCCCTGACTGAGCAGAGTTTGTGGCCTATGAGAAAGACAGACATTGAACAAGCGATTATAGGTAAATGAAAGGGAAGCAGAGCCATAGGGATGTTCACTTCCTGCACCTACTACAAAGGCTATGGTGTGAAGTTTACACCCATGTTAATATCAACTTCTAGGATAAATTCAGGAGAAAAGCTAGAAAGCACCAGTATTTCTGATTTTATAGTATATATGTGTGTTTTTTTAAGTACCATGATGACTTTCCAAGCCCAAATGGGTTATGATAAATAACTTTTATCCACTATGTTAACTAATTTACATTTAAAAAAACCACTCAGGCTTCAAAGTTCAGTGAAATTATATATTCATTTAACCATCTTTATTTTATTTTTGAG